AACTGATGTAAGTATATCTAGCACATTTGTCTTAAGTATATCATATTGCAACTTTGAGTAGCTAGCGTTGCATCTTTAGAGACATTTTTTTTATTAATGTGTTGTCATAACCTTGAACAAAAACTTTATGAACTAAGTGTGAGTGGCAATTCTTTTAGAAGAAAAAGTTGGGGAGGACTTAAAGTATGAAAGGGTCTAGAACAAATGGGAAATGTCTATGATGTGATGTTTCTGAATATTGTTCATTGTAAATCGCAAGTAAATAAAGAATGGTCATTCATTTAGATGAAAAAAAGTTAGGATAATCACATTATGGAAGACTCTAGAACAAAGGAGAAGTGTTTGTGTTTTGGAGTATTGTGCAACGTAAATAGTAAATAAAAAAGGCAGTTCGTTTTGAATTAAAAAAGTTTGATAATTAAAGTATAGAAGGTTCAAGAAAAAAGTTCTTGTGTATTGAGGTTGTGCATATTGTGCATTGTAAAGCATAAAGCAAAACAATGGTAATCTTTTTAGAAGAAAATAATTTGGATAACTAAAACATGAAAGATTTTAGAACAAAGGAGAAGTCCTTGTATTTTGATGTTTGTGAATCATGCTCAAGCTCAACCATGGAATCTTTTAGATTGTATATGTGGCAAAATCCGGTAGAGTGCAGATGATATCGGACGACCAGTAATGCTTAGAATTGTTGCCTCAGTACCGTCGGATTGGTTTCATCCAACAACGAATACTCAAATTTATCCACACACTCTATAGGACTATAGAAATATCATCACTTCGTTTCTTATTTTGTAGGATTTTAATACAAAGTCGTGGATAAGAAATATTTTTATTAACCTTTACTCATTTGATGCTCTGCAGTCATAATATGATACTGGACTTTTTCTCCATCATCCTCTTATTGCAATGTTACATAGTTTTTTTTCTTGGATGACATAACATGATACTCTTATGATATTTGCATAGAAAGGGGTCTTAAAAATACTTAAATCTAATTGGTCGATACTACGAGATTTGATGATCTACGAATTTGGCGCCACCTATGTTTTTTTACATAAGAATCATTTCTACTATCATCTTTCTCAATTTTCTGTGTTACATATTTTTTTACTTAGTAAGCTAAAGCGATGTACAATGCATAGTGTCTAGAGATGTGATTGTGAAATACCGTTTTTTAAAATACCCATGCTTACTTATATAGCAATGGTGCTCAATTAGACACCTCTAAACAGAAGCACTGTTGCTTACACATAAACCAAATTTATTTTTACAAACACATGTCTAAGAGGCAGCTACACATGTCTGCAATTGACTGTTGAACACGAATACAAAAAACAACTTTAGGGCTCCTTTGAAGAAATTACACAGGATTTTTAGAGAATTAGAGGATCTACAGTTGGACTTTGCAAATCCGCCTCCCTATACATCCGTAGATGTGACCGGCCGCGGCCATGAACAGTGGCTGGACACCCTCATTTTTCTTTCGCTGCATCCCTCTACCACATATTAGATAACTCAAACCCAATACAAAACATGAAATATAAAATCTACGTAACCTAGTTAGCCTACACTACTCATTATTGTCGGAGATGTCAACGACCTTCGTGCCGCGATTTTTTGTCGAAAGAGACCACCTGCGCAATCGAATTGCCAAAAAAGACCCCCTTCAAATAAAATTGACAAAAAAGACCCCCTCGGCCGTGGCGGCAAGCGTGCCAGGCGACACGTGGCACCTGCCGCCACAGTGCCAGGCGGCAGCACCTGCCGCCAGTCGGCGAGGCGGCAGCCTGCAAATAACAGCTAGCGCGCCGCGGAACGGAACAGGAATCCGGTGGTGGGACCGGCCGCCAATATGGGAGGCGGCAGCACTGTGCGGCGCGGGCCCAGCCGCCAGCCCGAGTGGCGGCAGCACTGTGCTGCCGCACTGCCCCGCCCGCGCAAGACAAAAAATAAAGTTTGAAAGCGTTATGCAAGACCCAGAGAGAATGCGGGACACATGTTAGTCGATCGATGATGCGCAAGTTACATCGCTGCTGCTAAGGATGGATGGTGATTGCAATGGAACGATGGATTCACTAGGCTGAGCTGCTCGTAGCAAGATGACACGGCATCCAGCTTGTGTAGTAGAGTAGCAGCGCTAGAAGCTATCGGTCGCGAGCGGGCGGGGCAGTGCGGCAGCACAGTGCTGCCGCCACTCAGGCTGGCGGCCGGGCCCGCAGCACACAGTATTGCCGCCTCCCATACTGGCGTCAGGTCCCACCACCGCATTTCCGTTTCGTTCTGCGGCGCGCTGGCTGTTATTCGCAGGCTGCCGCCTCGCCGACTGGTGGCAGGTGCTGCCGCCTGGCACCGTGGCGGCAGGTGCCACGTGTCGCCTGGCGCACCTGTCGCCACGATCAAGGGGGTTCTTTTTGCCATTTTCAGTTGAACGGGGTCTTTTTTGACAATTCAATTATGCAGGTGGTCTTTTTCGACAAAAAATCTCGTGCCGCATCCTGCTTCGCTTCCATCTGCCTCTCCGCCTGCTCCTCCTCCGGCTCCAGCGAGTTCGCAGGGAGGCCGGTTGTGATCCGGGCTTCAGGCCTAGCCAGAATCTCCTCAAGTAGTTCAAGGCGCCGCTCCGGCGTTAGCATGGCGTATGTTGACACCTTCTGTCGGGCCATGGCTGTTAGCGGACAGTGAACAGATGGTGCGGGGAGGGAGGGAGATGGATGCCGCTAGGGCTGAGGGTCGCCGAACTTTGGCCCTCGGGCAGCGAGCCGGAGCGGCGTCACGCGGCATCACTAATGCGTCCGGCCGTCCACATCCTCGGAGGAGACGTCTGTCAGATTGATTGTTTTCCAAGTGTTTCGGCATGGGCCCCTGCCGTCATTCCGATGTGGCGGACACGACCAGGCCTCTCCATTTTCGCCTTAGATTTGAACTAGACATGAGGGGTGCAGGTCAGACCGGGCATATAAGGCCGACATGAGGAGTCCGTCTGAGTTGTTCTTTTTTGACCAGTCAGTTACCGGGCCATCCGTCGGGCGTACGGAGGGTTCAAGAGTTTGAGAAACCCGTTTCTAGATTCTCTTATAGAATGCTTAATTTTTTTCTACGTTGGCCGTTTGATTTATAGGATTAAATCATATAAATATATTTCCTCAGGGATTATGTGTACTACATTTTATTGATAATCTAGCATCCACTTCAACCTTTTCTTTACAGTTTCTTTACTTTTTAGGTGGGATCAAACACTCTATGCTAATTTCATAGGATTTAAGTAGACATGCAACTTCATTCCTGATTTTTTTTATCACAAAATAAATAAAATCCTGATTTTTTTTTCTTATTCATACTTCTTGATAATCCTGCGAATAAAAAGTGCATGGGCGGGAGTACCTCGAGTATCGAGTACTGTCAAAAATATCCATTTTATTACTACAATACCCAGTACGCATTTAGTTGCGCAAAACACGTGAGTAGGTGGCAGTTGTTGATCTAGAATTCACAAAAGTCAGAGCTGAAAATAAATACTAATTCAAACTACACAGAAGTAGTTGAGAGGGTGTTTGAATCCAAAGGACTATTTTTAGGCCATGCTTGGATCCAAGGGACTATTTTTAGTCTGACTAAAACTAGTCTCTTTTAGAGGCTAAAGTTCCAATCACCCCTAACTAAAAAGAGGCTAGAACTAGTCTTGAGACTAAAAAATTTTAGTCAAGGAAACCCTACTAAAATGTGGATTAGTCCTCTCTCTCCTCATTTAACTCCTCTCCTTTAACACATGCGAGTTCGGGATTGGAGGGTTTGGAGGATAATAAATGCTCATTAACACATTTTAGTCTATTTAGTATTTGTATCCAAGCATGGGTGAGGTTAGCAAGTTTTAGTCCCACTACTTTTAGTCATGGGACTAAAACGTATTCAAGCACCCTCTTAATCTGATTAAAAATAGTCTCTTTTAGAAGATAAAGTTTCAAGCACCCCTGACTAAAGAGAGGCTAGAACTAGTCTTAAGAGGGTGCTTGGATCCAAGAGACTATTTTTAGTCTGACTAAAAATAGTCTCTTTTAGAGGCTAAAGTTCCAAGCACCCCTGACTAAAGAGAGGCTAGAACTAGTCTTGAGGCTAAAAACTTTTAGTCATAGGAAACCTACTAAAATATGTATTAGCCCTCTCTTTCATCATTTAATGCCTCTCCTTTAACACATGCGAGTTCTGGATTGGAGGGTTTGGAGGATAATAAATGCTCAATAACTTGATTTTAGTCTCTTTAGTATTTGAATCCAAGCATGAGTGGGGCTAGCAAGTTTTAGTCCCACTACTTTTAGTCATGGGACTAAAACGTATCCAAGCACCCTCTAAGGCTAAAATTTTTTAGTCATAGGAAACCTACTAAAATATGTATTAGCGCTCTCTCTTTTCATTTAATTCCTCTCCTTTAATAAATGCGAGTTCTGGATTGAAGGGTTTGGAGGATAATAAATGCTCAATAACTTGATTTTAATCTCTTTAGTATTTGGATCCAAGCATGGATGAGACTAGCAAATTTTAGTCCCATTATTTTTAGTTATGGGACTAAAACGTATCCAAGCACCCTCTGAATTATTCAGAGATCCGAAAAGTATTTTATACTTTATCTTTGAATTTCCGGCAGCCGTGCCGCTCCGCTTTCACTAGCTAGCAGCATCATTAACTGATGAGCAGTTGCATCTGGCTGGCTGGCTGGCTGATCAGGCGAGCCGGGCCCGCATGTCAGCCCAACGGGCCGGTAAACCCACGCCATAAAGAAGGCCTAAGTTCCTGTCGCCAGCCCACAGGAAGGAGAGAGAGCGGCAGAAGCATCATCAGCGGCAGCAGCGAAGGCAAAGCAAATTGCACAGAGGCAGCGCGCGGCGGAGGCACACGCGCTTCTCGTGCTGCTGCCTTGGCGTGGGTGGGGAGAGGGGGGAGGAGCTTCGAGAAGGTTCCGAGGCGGGAGAGGGCTGCTGGCGGGGGCCGCGGGCGCCGGAAGCATGTTGGGGAGGGACGAGCTGCTGCGGCGGAGCCTCGTGACGCTGGCGGCAGCCGTGGTGGTGACCGGGGTGGCCACGGCGTCCGTGCGGAAGGCGCTGGCCACCTACGTCTTCGGCATCCTGGCCATCGCCGGCGTGCTGCTCCCGGACTGGGAGTTCTTCGACCGCGACTTCTCCCAGTGGCTCACCCCCATGCCCGCCTCCCGCCGCACGGCCGCCGCCGCCGCCGCCGAGCGCGAGCACGACATTTGGAGGTCAGCTTTCCGAGCCCCGCCCCCCTCCCCTGTCCCGTGATCTATCCGTCTGAGA